CCCTGTGACCCAAAATGGAAGAAGCGGGTAAAAGATGATGGATGGAATTCTCACTCTGTTAGTTCTTGGTCATTTTGTTCAAGTACCAGTATTACTGAAGCAGTGAGGCAAATTTCATAATATTTTCTCATGTAAGATGTTTTAGTTTAGATAATCTGATGTACATGAGCAGCTGTGAGCGCTACAATTCCTGATTTAAATTTGATAACGAGTTGACCGGGTGCGTTCCAAAACTGGAAACTAATCGATGAAAACAAAAAAATCCATTGTTTGTGTTAGAAATCTGTAAATTAGTGGAACAATAAGAGGCTTTCTTCTTCTTCTCATTGTGACCTTTGGCTCTTCTTTCCAGTGGAGTGCATCCTGGGTGTCAACTTTGTAATGACCACGGATGAAGATTCAAGCAGCACCCCTAAACTCTTCACCATGGCCTGTGTTCTGCTCATCCTCTTTTTGGGTGGAGGAATCTTCCTCTTCCTCAGCGCTCGATCAAAACTGCCCAAAACCAAAGCTGGGGGCTATGAGAAACTGAACACCAGCGAAGGCTTCACACCGCAGCCCACCAACACGTTTGGGGAGTACAGCGACAAAATCACGGAATGTGAGGACCATGATGAAGAGTATGATGAGGAGGATATAGTGTACATGACCAAAGATGGAACGGTGTATCGGAAGCTTAAGCACGGCTTGTTGGATGATGATGATGAAGAGCTGGAATATGATGATGAAAGCTACTCTTTTAGATGAACACCCACCATCAGTGTTCATGTTTGTACAGAAAGAGTGTTTTTTTTTATTTTTCAGCTGTTCAAACCTTCTAATAATGTTTTAATAAGTGCTTTGATCTGTCAGTTACAGCCTTAATGTTGTTTTTGTGTGTTTTTTAAGATCATTTGCACATCTTGTGGTTGAAATGGTGAAAAAATGTATATTTTTTTAGGAGCCATGACTGCAGCAAACATTTAGTCTTTAAAAATTTTAAACACTTTTATCATAATACATATATGGTGTTTTATATGAACCTTTGGCCATTTGTTCAAACAAAAGTGTCCAACCACAAAGGACTGGGTGCACATCAGACACTTTGTTGCCATAATTGTTTTAATGATTTGTAAAAATCAGTAAAAAAGTACTAAACATTTTTTCAGACTCTCATTACCCCCTTCCCCCTAGAATATATTGTTTTAGTTCAGTCTTTTCAGCCCACACAACCCCTTTAAAGAGTCCAAACCATGACGTTGTCACCAGTCTTTACCAATGTGATGAGATTTTATTGTTAAAACAATAATTTAAATTAAACAGTTTCACTTTATGTTCAGAGTTGCTTAAAGGTTTTCAGGTATCAATTCTAACTGCTAGCATGAAACCTGTTCAGTGATGGTGAACTTCTCAAAACAGTCAAGTTTAAAGTTTCTTTTATAAAAGTTGCGCACAAAGATCGACAGTTCTGAATATCTTTAGTACAAGTGTATTTTTTAAGAACATTTAAAAAAGGATCAAACCTTGAATAAATCCATCACCCTTTTTAAAAAACTCATTAATTAGAACTTGCCTCTATTTTAAATCATCATAAGATTTTACAAGTTTTTGCCGTTCAGAAGAGCAGTCTGATCTGTTAAATATGTTCAAGAGCTTTAATGAAGGCTTGTATTTTTATTTTGGCGGTTAAAATTCATCTGATGACATATATTTACATTTAATATAAATTAGAGAAATTACATTTCCTGTGAAAATGCAGTGTGAATGCTTATAGCAGAAGAACTTGCAGAGAAACAGCTGAAATGTAGCTGAAAGGGAAGGACAAGCCTAAATTAGCAGAAGAAAGCAGAAATAATATGTTTGCCCAATTAGACTTAAAGAACCAGAAATGAGCACAAAGAAGTGGAAATTATCTGAAAAAAAAGTTTAAATTAACACAAAAACAATTAAATAGTAGCTTAAATAGCAGAAAAAGCTGAAACTAGCTGAACAAATATGAAAGGAGCATAACAAGCTGAAATTAACTGAAAAAAGTTAATTATGCTGAAAGCAGCAAAAATTACAATAAAAAAAAATTGAATTATCTGAAAACAGCTGGAACGAGATAAAAATGCTAAAAAGGTAGAGCAAGCTTAAATTAGCAGACGAAAGCAGAAAGAACATGTTTGCCCAATTAGGCTGAAAGAAGAAGAAATAAGCACAAAAAGTGAAAATTATCTGAAAAAAATCTGAAATTAGTCAGAGTCAGAGTCAGAGTTTCTTTATTGTCATTCGCACCTCATGTGGTGTGGTGGAGCGAAATTATGTACACAGGGTCCCAGTTACATCCAACAATAAAATGTATAAGAAAAACAGTAATAACATCTAAGATATGAACTAAGAAAAACATCAACTAAATATACACTAAGCACTCATAACATAAAAACATTGAACATCAGCACAAACATGAACATGAGTCTGTGTGAGCGGATGAGCACGCATGAACACATCAACATTGAAACAGATCAGCAGCAACATGAAACAGATCAGCAGCAACATGATATGGTTTTTCACAGTGATTATTCTAGTTAGAGATTCATGAGTCTAACAGCCTCAGGGTAGAAGCTGTTCCTCAGTCTAGTGGTTCTACACTTAATGCTCCTTAACCTCCTTCCTGAGGGGAGTGGGGCAAAAAGTGTGCGTGCTGGGTGAGTGGGGTCCTTCATGATGCAAGTGGCCCTCTTCCTGCATCTGGAGGTGTAGATGTCTGTGATGGTGGGGAGGCTGATTCCGACAGAGCAAATTAGCACAAGAAAACAGCTGAAAAGCAGCTAAAAAAGCAGAAAGAAGCTTAAATTACAAGGAGGAAATGGAGGGAGTACATTTTTGCTGGATTAGGCTGAAAAAAAGTTTAAACAAGTGCAAACAATATGGAATTAGATAAAAAAAAAGAAGCTAAAATTAACATAAAAACAGCTAAATAGTAGCTGAAATAGAAAAAGCTGAAGATTGCATAAATAAGCTGAAAGAAGCAGAAACAAGTTAAAGCACAACATGGTGTAGTTGGCAGAAAGGCCTAATCCGGATTAGAAAGGAGCACAAAACAGCTGAAAAAAAACAGCTGAAATGAGCTGAAAGTAGCTGAAAAAAGTTTAAATTTGCACAAGGAAGCTGAACCAGAACAAAATGTGAAAGGAGCAGTAAAAGGTTGTAAACGCATCTAAAGATTTGAAGGATGTAAAATGAGCTCAACTCATTTTCTATGTGAAAATTATGGCAGAAAAGACTAAATATTTCAAAAAGCTAAAGTTGCACCAGTAACAAAAGGATTGTTCTGAAAGAGCTGAACGTTTTGATATATGATTTGTTGAAATAGCACAAAAATTGTGGAACGAGAAAGATGCTGAAGAACATACGGAAGAAAAATGGATCACAATAGTGTGAATGCTTCAGAGGCGTTCACACAAATAGAACAGCATAAAGATCAGAGCCACCTCCATCATTCCTTAAGCTGTAAGTGAAGATGGCAAATCTGTGACAATTCTATCTTTGCATTTTTAAGAAACTGTTTATATTTGTGAAACCTTGGGGAAGTTAACACCGAAACAATAAAATTCAGGCATGTTGTCTTTGGAAAAATCTCTTTTATGGTTTGAAAGTTGTGTAAAATGGAACAGAAACTCCAGTCTATTCGCAGTAACCATCGTCTCTGCTTTAACAGTACATTAGTGCAACAAACGAGACTAAATCCTAAAGGAACTGAGTGAAAATAAGTTTAAACAAATACATTGAAATCTGTTATGGTTTGATGAAGTAACATCTCTGACTACCTCATTTGGTTTAAAACAAAATATACAAAAAAGAAAAATGGTAAAAGCATGATGCATATGTTGTTACTGCCTGAGTAACACTAATATATTAAATAATTCAGCAATTTGAAGCCTAAAAAACAAATCTGCAGACTTTCCATCATTTAAAATAGTTTCCAGTAGATACAGACACTTTCATATCATCTGTCAGATACACTCTCACACACACAGGTTTAAATTACACCAGATGGGGATATTCTTACAGGCTTTTGGAATATGGTTAATTCAAAAACAAAAATCATAAAAAAAATATTTAAATGCATGCCTCTATGCATTTTATGCATAGAGGCGTATTTTCCAGTTCAGATACTGGTGAAAACTCACGTTCATACACCTAAAAAACAGTTGCTGTCCAAGTGGGCTGGTTTTTCCTACTCTTCAAATCATTTATCACCGTTTCCTATAACTGTGAAATAAAGGAGTCATTTTTCCCTCATTCGAGCTCAGAGTTCAAACTACCTTCATCTTACCAACTCGACAGGCTGCGAACACAAAGACAGTTGGTTAATGTGCTGAAACTTTCAATTTTCTCTTTTTTATTTGACTGTAGAGACCGAAACCTGAACTGCAGTCTCTGATTTGATGTAGTTTCAGACTTTTGCTGCTCGAGGCTCTACAGAAGTTCAGCTTCTCTGCAGGACGACATGAAACAGGAAGTTAAATACAGTCAAGTTTAAATGAGTGCATGCATTAAGTACTGTCCTTACAGTGATGAGTTAAATATTGAAACACATTTTCTAACTGGGCACTTTTGTTTGGTACAGATGTTGAAGCAACCATCTGAAGTTAGAAACAAGCCTCAGCAGGAATGAACTTTCCAAATAATCTTTTCTAATCGAGATTCTCTGGGATGAGCTTATTGGCTCATTTGAACATATAAAAAGAAAAAAAGCGTTTGTGTTTGTTTTCACAATCTTTTAAAGAGCTGCAAATTTTCAGAGTCCTCTCTCATGAAACATTTCAAATATACAGCAAAAACTGTGAAAGAGCAAGGTGCTAAATGGTGAGAATAATAACAAATTCACAATCTAAGTGATTTGCAACAGGCCCATTAAAGCAGCAAAAGGGCTTTTTAAATGCAGAAACGCTAAAAAAAACAAGTCTGTTCGTTAACAGCTTCATAATAAACACCCTGGTGGTCAGGTTTATGTTTGCTGCTGCAGCAGCCGGCTGTCAGTGACCGTTGATGATAGTCTGTGACGTGGACGCAGTGGAGGGGGGCGAGGCTGAAGACGAGCTGGTCCTGCTGGTGAAGAAGTTGTCATCTCTCAGCTTGCGATGCTCGGGGAGCTCCAGCTGCATTTTGGCCTCCTCGATGTCGCTGTTGATCGCCGCGATGAGAGCTTCTGCTCGGACCAAGATGTACGAAACACGCCGTCAGAGAGGGATGCAAGTGAAGAAATAGGAAGACAGTGTGGGGGAAATGTAAAAGAGGAAAAGGCGTACCAAGTGAGCTGAAGGTCCTTTCTGGGCGGATGTAGCCCACCATGACGACACTCAGCGTCTCCCCGTAAAAGTCCTCTTTGAATTTGTGAATTATGTGGGTCTCCTAGAACCACAAAACATTCATTTTCACAAAAAGGACAGCAAACACAAGAATTTATGAACTGCTTGATTTTTCCCTCATTGTTGTAAAAATATTTCCTTAGAAGTCAAATCCAAGGCTCCAAAATTACTCCAAGAACTAAATCATAGCATATGACAATTTCTTATGTCTTTTAATGTTTAGCCTTGTTGCTTTAGGCTTTTTTTCCTGTTGTATTACATACTTTAATATCTAAATCATTTATTTTTATCTCATCAAATTATTAGCTTTTATTTAGATGTTTGTCAGATTTTTATTTGGCTCAGTAAACAAATTTGATAAAAAAAAATTTATAAGATCAAAGATCACACATCACTGGATTTATTTTAAACTAAAATACAGACATGTTCAGTAAACAGACAGATTTCATCAGTGAAAGAAGCTTTGTTTATTTATTTTTATTTATTTGTAACTGACTGTTTTCCTCACAGCTTTTGTGAGTTTTTAAAAACTACAGTCACTATTCACTTTAAACCTATGATTAATAAAATGAAATTCAAAATTGTCTGTTTTGTTTATGCTCCAGAGACAAACAAGAGGCAAAATGTCAACCAAAAGTCCAGATCCTTAATGTTAAACACAGTGGAAAATATATCCCAGCGAGCAGTCGCCTTCATCAACAGTTCTCCTCTTCAGTTCATTTTCTTGCTTACCATGGATTTCTTTTTGTTTTTGTAGTAAGGGTTCCAACCGATGCTCATCACCATTTTGTACACGTCTCCATTGCCAAAACAAGCCCAGCCGTAGTAGATTCCTGTGCCGATATCTGCTGGGAGATTGTCCACCACCGAGTCTGGGAAGTTGGCTGGAGGAAAGAAAGAAATACATTTTAATAAGCAAGAAGATAAAAAGAGATGATGAGCTCACAGTGAGCTTGAAGTGATTTATGTTGGCAATTTCTAGAATTAAAGACAATATGAAAGTTCAACTTTAAAATTTTCTGTGTTTTTGCTTTAAACTCAACAGTGCAACATGGAAACAATTATACTCACTAAGAAATCCTGAAATAATTCAGAATAATATCCAACAGCAGTGACAATAACAAAGTGCAGCAACTAAACCTGTACTAATTTAATTATGAACAATACAAGAACCTGGTTCTGATGATTTATTACAGCTCGCATGTTTTGTACCCGAGAACAGATTTGAAATTGAAACACCTTTTAAATGTTGATTACTGAAATGATCCTCATAGTTTTCTATTATAGCAATTCATTTTTCATTATAGCAATTCATTTTTCATGATAGCAAGCATTTTTGTTTTTGTCAGCATTATTTCACTACAACACATCTCTGGTACTATTTAGGCACAAATAAAGAGCTATCCGTCTCTGTAAAACCACAGTGTGAGGCTGCAGAACACCACCTGGGACACCACACTGAGCAGGGGCTCCTCAGGGCACGGTCCTCTCACTGTTTCTGTTCACCCTCTACACCTCGGACTTCAGGTACAACTCACAGTCCTGCCTTCTGCAGAAGTTCTCAGATGACTCTACCATTGTGGGCTGCATCACTGGTGACCAGGAAGCTGAATACAGAGGTGTGGTGGACAGAACCACCTGCATCTCAACGTTGGAAAAACTAAAGAGCTGCAGGTGGACTACAGGAAGAAGAGCAGCCCCCACAACCCTATCAACATCAAGGGTACTAAGGTGGACACTGTGGACTGCTACAAGTACCTGGGGGTCCACCTAGACAATAAACTGGACTGGACAGCTAAAACCAACACCCTCTACAAGAAAGGACAGAGTTGCCTTTTTCTTCTGAGGAGACTCAGGTCCTTTAACATCTGCAGATCCATGCTGCAGATGTTTTACCACTCTGTGATCTCCAGCATCTTCTTCTACTCTGTGATGTGCTGGAGCAGCAGGATGAAGAAAGCTGATGCCAACAGACTCGATAAACTCATCTAGGGAGCTGGCTCAGTTCTGGGAGTGGACCTGCAGTCTGTGACAGAGGTGTCAGAGCAGAGGATGCTGAGGAAACTGCTCCAGATCCTGAACAACAGACTGGACTCTTACTGCAGCACCTTCAGTCGTAGACTGAGACCACCGAGGTGCTCCACAGAACACCACAGGAAGTCCTTCAAAATTTAAACTCCTCTTCCCTTCTGCACATAGGACAATAAAATGAATCCTGCATTACAATAAACTCTTTAACGTTTCTGTCTGCACCTGTTTACAACTTAATTGTTGGCATTTTTATATTCTTTTATTTTTACATCTTGCGATTCTTGTGTATGTTCCTTTGTGCTGAAACTCTGGCACAATAATTTCCAGCGGGATAAATGAAGTTCTATTGTATCTTATCTTAAAATGAATCTTTCGAAAGTGGTATTTTTTGTATTTACAAAGTGAATTAGGTATGAAAAGATGAAAACATATAACTATTTGAAAAACACTGAAGTGCTTCTGCGTTGGTCAGGATCCATTTGCAGACTTTTATGTACTCTATTAATTAAAAAAAATTTAAACAAACATGACACTAAGCAACGCAGAGCATCAACTTCTGTTACGTAACTCTCGTTTACCTCTGTTAAAAACGCGCATGCTGTTATTTGTACAAGTTAAACAGTTATTACTCATATCACTTGGGATGTTTGACTCCCCAAGACCTTTGGTTCTTCCGTACGATAAAAACCGATTCACGAACTTTACGCTATCTGCGTACGTTATCGAACTGTAGTGCAAGTTGTTATTACTGTAATATCGAGTAATAGGTCTCACCTGTGGGAATTCCGAGTTCTTTGCTTCCTCTTCCGAACCCTCGAACCACCTCCCCTCGACAGAAGTACGGGAGGCTCTTCATGACTTGCGCCCCAGAACAGCTGGTTCAGATGGAGCTAAAAAATGACCTCGAACACGGATCACAAGGAAGTCGGGCTGAATAACGAAGCACAACTACTCTGCTTATACGATGTCAAAATAAAAAAAACCTGATCCTGTTAAAAGCACACCTTTCCTCCTAGTGTCTACCTGCACCGTTAGCTTCACCTGCCCGGCTGATTGCTGAATATTTCCGTCACAGAGATGGTGAAAGTTCACCAGCTATGCTAGCGATGCTAACTAACTAGCTTCAGAGAAGTGAAGTTCCTGAAGCGGTTTTAATCCCGGGGAGCCGTTTGTAAAGGGACGTGGGAGGTAACAGACTCTGCTTCACTTCATCCAAGCGTCGTGTGTCCAGAAGAGAAATAAAGCTCGGGAAAAAAGACCAATATTCAGAAGCCGGTTCCTTACATGTGAAGCATTTGCGTAAGCGGCGCTCGCGTTTACGTCAATGACCACGTGACCACAGAGGGCGGTACTTGATGCCTTCAGGTTTTTAAGGAAATTTGTCGACTGGAACCCATAGATGTATAAAAGCATATAATTAATTAATTAATAATTAATTGTATTATAAGATAAATGTGTTTATATATCTGTGCTGCAACCATTCATTCAACCTTTATTCATGCAGGTCAATTCCATTGAGCCTCGGGGACTCATTTCCAAGAGAGACCTGTTTTTAACGAAGAATGAGGACAACAGTTGACAACAAAGACAACAGTCGACAATCATAAAAGGAAGCATGCAAATTGAGAAGAACAAGTGAAAGAAAATTGTATTTAAAAAAAATGAAACAAAAACAGCTAGGTTGTAAGGCGATGTAACAGGAACATGTCTGCATTGGTTTTTACCAGGAACTTAGCAGATGTTTGAAGCCAGAGAGGTCAAGGTCGAGAGCTTCAGATCTTTTTGCAAGATATTCCAGGAAACAGGAGTGGAGTAGGAGAAGGCCCTTTTGCCTGGTTCAGTCCTCACTGAGGGAACACTGCAGGTAATAATGTCCTGAGAGCGAATGCTGTAGCTGAACTCACGCAATGACATGTAGAAGGAGATGTATGAAGGCAACTGTGATGACCAGTTAACCAGTGAAAACAGAGTGCAATGGTGGGTACGCTAGTTACAGCCAGTTATGAATCTTAGCGCACCATGATAGGCAGCATCCAACATCTGCAGGGTTCTTGTAGGAGCGTTCATGTAAATAATGTCACCGTAGTCAATGGAGGGAAGGAAAGTCGCAGTTACAAGGCGTTTCCTAGCATTTAGAGTTAGACAGGATCTATTTCTGAAAAAAGAAACCCAGTTTAACTTTCAGTTTTGACATTTTCTTAGTCCAAAAAAGTTTTATGTTTGAAGCAGATGGCCACTTGTCCTGAGCCTGGTTCTGCTAAAGCAGGGCTAGTCAACAGAACTGCTCAGTGGGCTACAGTTTCAGAAAGTCTGCAGCTCAGAGGCTGGACATCCAGCGATTAAAATCATTACGTAAATAAACCAAAGTTCACAATGATCTGTTACCTTTTACATTTGTTTATTTTATTTCATTGAATCATAAAAGCAACAAACAGAACCCATTTTGTTTTAATGAAGTGGGTGGGATTGAAGGCCGCCAGTTGAATAGCCTTTTGCTAAAGGTTTCTTCCTCATGAGGGAGTTTTTCCTTTCCACTGTTGACTTCATGTTTGCTCAAGATGAGAGTCTGCGATGAAGTTAAACTCAAAGCAGTCTGCTCCTCAGATAAATAGTGTTAACTTACTTTTTGTGTATATGAAAGTTTCTGTTCAGTGCCCTGAGACGACTTCTTCTGTTTGTGACTTGACACTTTATAAATAAAATGAATTGAATTAAGCCCAACACTCAGAACGGACTCCTCTCGAACTCTGGGCTACTGCTGCAGTAGGACTCTGAGCTGTCATGCTCCAGGTATACACACACAAAAT